TGAAGCACGCATACGTCCCTTGGGTCTCTCCCTCCCGATTTTACTTACGCTCAAACTTGAAGCACGCACACGTCCCTTGGGTCTCTCCCTCCCGATTTTACTTACGCTCAAACTTGAAGCACGCACACGTCCCTTGGGTCTCTCCCTCCCGATTTTACTTACGCTCAAACTTGAAGCACGCACACGTCCCTTGGGTCTCTCCCTCCCGATTTTACTTACGCTCAAACTTGAAGCACGCACACGTCCCTTGGGTCTCTCCCTCCCGATTTTACTTACGCTCAAACTTGAAGCACGCACACGTCCCTTGGGTCTCTCCCTCCCGATTTTACTTGTGTTTGTGAATAGATGTGTTTGTTTCAATTAGTAGCATTATCCAAAATTCATGCATAGCTCTGATGATCAACAAGGAATTCCACACATAATAAAAGAAGAAACAATCTACTTTGCTGCAGTTTTGGGCTGTCCATCATCTGCTCCTAACTTAGTTCTTTGTAGAATTTCCTAAAGTGCACATTTGATCATTAAGCTCAGCAGTAAGTAATGAAGTAAGAGGTAGGTCTTATCTAAGGATTTCCATAATGATAGTTCTCCTGCTTTAGATGAAGAGGCTGTGAGAAACATATAAATTATAGGGTTTCTCAGTCTTAATAACTTTAAAGATGTGTGGATCTCAATTCCCAAAATTCTCGCAATAAACTGCTCTAGAGAGAAAGACAATAAAGAGAACACAAAGTCGAGGATTTCAAGACCATATTCCAGATAATTTGTAAATGAGAACTTGTCCTCATACACTTGCTGCTTTTCTACCCATATAACCCTACCATTTCTTATTCAACGTTGCTTGGAAACATAGGTGTTACTTAATGGGAAACGAGCATTATCAGAACCAATTGCCCATCTATTATCATTCATGCTCCATCCAGAATTTCATGAGAACAATAATAAAACAACATATACTCTTGCTAGACAATGGCTGATGCACTTTCAGTTTATAACAATTTGGCTACAAAGTAAAAGAAGAATGTTGAGCAAGGTCAGTTCTTAAGCATAATTAATCAATCAATCCATCCATCTCCAATCAATCAAATCTTTATAGTTGCCCATCTCATCAGCAGCAACTCTGGACAGTGCACAACAATAATATAAAAACACAGATTAAAAAACCCAGAGATGTGGAAAAAAAACTATATTAAGAAACAAAGAGCATAAAAAACAAATATACAAACCCCTACGCAAAGAGAGAATAAAAATGGCCATTTTAACAATGGAACTATCCAAGCAGATCTCAGGTTCACTTGTGAGCCCTAGGCCTCATAATATAACCAAGTGTTGAGGTTCTTCAGGAATGTTAAAAAGATGGAGATAATTAATTTTGAGGGAAAACCGTTCCTTAAGGTAGGGGCCATGGCAGAGAAGGCGTGTCTCCTGGAATTTACCATATGTAATTTGATTACAGAAGGGACCTGCAGCATGTGTCTTCTGCCAGATGATGGGACAGGCACATTAAATTTTGGAGACAAGGCCCCTCAAGCAACCCAGCCCCATACCATTAGTGGCTTTCAAGCTCAAAATCAGAACCTTGAATTTGGACCCAGAAACAATCTGGCAACCAATGCAGCTCAGCTACAAGACCAATGTGGTCTTGTAGAGGTTAATATAACTGCTTGTACCATTGCCTTTTGTTCCAGCTGAAGCTTCTGGATACTTTTCATGGGCAGCCCCTTAAGGAACACATTACAGTAAGAGGTGATTAAGACATGAGTGACTCAGCAGAGCATTGATCAAAGAGTTAAATTTGCAGTGGGAAGTGTGCACCTCCAGACTTGCAAGATTGATGTTAGCCCTCCCTGGTAAATCAGACAGGAAACATAATTGGATGAACTAATTCTATTTTATTGTAAGGCTACATTAACAGCATTTTGTAAGTCTAAAGATGTATATTCACACCACCACCTAAACAACTGAGGAAGTAGGGTGGGCTCTTCCTAAGTTTCCTTTTCTGACCATTAAGCCACTGGAGCTCCTCCTTCTCACTTTGTTGTTTCCCAGTCAGCATCTCATCATCCCACCCCCCCAGGGGCATCCACACATTCAGAGTACAGGAACATGAAACTGGAATAAGGCAATGGACCTACAGACTCCAAATGCAACCTGCTTCCTGTCTGGCACCATACATAATAGGCATAGAGACATGACCTCCCCCCCATCCCCAAATGCCACATCAATCCAGGCTCCCCAGCTCCAGAAGGAGTGGCCCTCCCACTGTCTGCTCTTCCATTCATCCCAGGGAGGAAAATCCAGGTGCCTTGAGGCGCCATAAGGGTATTTTTAAGAAAGAAAGAAAATGTCAGAAAGAGAAAAGTTAGATGGATCTGAGAAACAATAAGTCACACATTTGAAAATCTGCTTGCTTTAAATATTTTTTCTGCCTTTTTTATTCATTATTTCCTAGTGCAGTTCCAACAGTTATGTAAACTTCTAGAAAACCAAGTAATTTGTAGGACAACAGCCCAGGGAAATTTTAGATCACCAAATTCTCCTCTGGCTTCAGAGTTAAATTGAGGTTACCAAACCCCGACTTTGCTCCTCCCACTCAATTCATCTATCCACATTAGATGCTGAATGCAGAGTTTTTGGTAGGGTTGTAAACAGGACCTTTCTCGTAGATGCAGCCTTGGGGTTGGAAAAAACTCACCTGCAACCAAGACAGAGGCTACAGTGGCAAGTGTCAGGTATGAGCCACTGCTAATCATGTTGATGAGCAGCTTGAATAAAGGATAGAGTAGCAACAAGGCCCAGAAAATCCCATTCAAGAGAGGCCATAGCCGCCGAGGAAGCACAATGGGGATCCCTGGATAGTTTCCTGTCTTGTAGTATTCTTCTTGGAAGACATCCTAGTCAGAACAATATGGAAAAGAGCTGGTTATCTGCTAAATTCATCACCGCAAGAAGGAAGTGTGATTTCTCTCCCTATTTCTGTATTTCTGTTCCTCTAGTCTAGAGGGGGGGGGGGTGACCATAGAAGACATAAGCCTGATGCTATTGAATACATTTTTCCTCCACCCACCAAATTGCTATTGTCTCATCTGCAAAATCAACAGAGTCAATCAGTTCTTCTCTTTAAGAAAATTAAGCAATCACTTTCAGATTTCAGGAATGGAAATTTGTAACAACTGAACATCGAGAGCAGGGGTGGGCAATTAATTTTTCCCAAGGGGCCACATGAGACTGGGATTGCTGTGGAGGGCCATCTCAAGTCTTACTCATCACCAGAATGGTTAAATAATAAACCAACCCTTTCTTGATAGAGTTTGTAAAGCCAGTCCGAACACTCCTGGTAGCCTTCCGGAACCTCCTCTAATGGAATCCGCCTAGAAATATTGAAGAAGAGAGCACAGGATGGACAGAAGAATTAAAAACAAACCACATAACCACCCTGCTTATTTTAATTTAAGGTGGAATGTAAGCAACAAGATTTGGGTGGGAAAAAATACAAGTTATTGGTGTTTCAATATAAAGCTTTTTTTCTTCTATTCAATCATGTCCAATTCTTGCAGACTGCTTGGATTAGTCCCTGCAGTTTTCTTGGCAAGGTTTTTCAGAAGTGGCTTGCCACGGCCTTTTTCCTAGGGCTAAGAGGACTAGAACTCAGAATATTCCAGTTTCTAGCCTGATGCCTTCATCACTATACCGAACTGGCTCTCCTAATATAAAGGTATAATAATAGGCTCTATTGTTATAAAGAATTTTAGAGTTCAATTCAAAATGCCTTGGAGGCATTTTCACCAGAGTTCCTTTTGGATTACTATTACACTATGCCTTTTAAAGACCTTAAGAAAAAAGTACTTGCCTTACGTAAAAATCTGCATGGTATTTCTTCCCATGTAAAATTCCAAGCAGTGTTGGATTTTCATTATTTCTGAAGTTCAGTGTAGTATCATATACAGCTGAAACTAGAATAGGGAACATTAAAACATGGTGATGGCTCTCAGAAGTTTCAAAACATATCATAATCCTGTGAACACCATGTAAGCTCAGGTTATCAAAACGATGAGCTTTGGCAGTTAAGGGGAAAAATAATTGTTATAGTTTAGTACCAAATACAAACAAGATTACAAAAAGGCTGTGATGACATAGCCAGATGAAGAGAACTTTATGTTGTTTTTATAGATCAGTTAAAATGTCAACCCAAACATCTCTGGTGCACTTTATGGGAGTCTACTTTAGCTTTTAACCTAGCTTTTAAATTCTAGTGGACCCCAAAGTTGCTAATCACATCTTATTGAATGAACAAAGCAGAAAATTGTAATTGTTAAGAGGCATAGCTTATTTTCTCCTGCTGCAAAGGAAGGAATTAAGGGATTGGAGCTATATGTGGCTAAATCTCACACCTCATTTAAATCAAGATATTAGCATCTAAATAAGACTTGAAGAAAGACTTAAAGGAAGATATTGTTTAGATATCATCATCCCTCAACAGAACTGTTTCAGAATATCGCAATCAAAAGTTGATGTCAGCTTGCTTCATTTCCAAATGCCAGTTTAACTAAAACGTACATCTGATTGCAAACACATAAATTACCAATTAAAATAGTGTCTTAGATGTGTTGGTTATATTATTCCTTACCTACATTTCTCAAACATTGGACGGTGATTGCAAATCCTTTGGTTCGCGGGAGGAGGTGATGTTTGAGCTTTGGCAAGCCTTTAGCTTCAGCCACCTGCATGCTGATTTCATGTTTTTGCTCAGTAAATCTTGTCCCTTCACAGTGAATCAAAAACTGAAGAGAAGAAGAAGGAAACTGAAGAGATATATTGGGGGTGTGGGAGGAAGAAGTACATTTCTTTATGGAATATTGCACGCCAATGCATGGGGCACAGAGGAAAACAAAAGACCACTTCTAAACATTAATATATACATTAATCACAACACTGCGATAAATCTCAAATACACACATTTTTCTTAAGACTGAAACATATTGACCCAGAAGGTCTACAATTCAGAAAGAGAAATCTGCAAGGCCATTCATATTTTATTACATATTTTAGCTGGTAAGGCCTTTTTGTAAAAACAATTAACATGCAGTTTTAGCATCACAATGTTCTTTTTTTTGAGTACCAGTAGCTGCTTTCTCTCTTGTACAAAGAACACAGGCCTTTTCCTGTTTGAACTATTTTTAAAAAAATATGAAGACTATATTGCTATTTAGCACTATTTTGAGCACGAGTAGTTGCAACAGGGTAAAGTTGTGCATTAAGGAGCATTTCACCAGAAACATTTATCAATTCCTATTTAGACTCTCCTATTTGATTCAGCAGCAGTCACAGAATGCAGCATTGTATCAGAAATAGTTAAGTATGTTGTCCTGAAAGATGGTTGAGAGCAATATTGGTTGCATTCTGAAGATCAAATTACATATTACATTTGGAGGGGAAGTAAGAGTCGCCTTATCAGTGAGATTGGAGACATATAAAATTATTAATTAATTAATAAAAGTGGGGGCTCCTCGTTTGAATCATGGTGGCCCTATTCAACCTTCATTGGATGCCAATATAGGAAGGACTGAATTAGATGGATAAAATGTGCAGAGCAAGGGTGGGTAATTGATTTTCCCAAGGTGTCACATTAGAAACTGGGACTGTTGTGGAGGGCTGGACCAAAAGGGCTGTGCAGGTGTGTAGGTATGCAAGCATGCACATACCTAAATTGAAAATAAAACAGCAGTCACCTTCAAAATAAAAGTAATTCGTGAAGGCTGGACAGGAATATTCGAAGGGCTGGATGTGGTTTGGGAGCTATATAATGTCCATGTTTGGTGTAGATGTTTCTTTTTTAAAGCAGCAAATGGCACCAACGGGGGGAGGGAGGAAGGAAAGGAAATGGAAATATATGTATAAAATAATAACTGAACTGATGAAGAGAAAAGTGGCAACTCTCTATCTTAGAAAATGAGACTGTATTCTCTAAAGAACACAAGTTCCTAGGCAGACCCACCCAGATCCTCACTGCAGTATCTAATGTGTAAAAGCCAAATGCAGGTTTAACAGCAAATGCAAGTTTAATAACAGACTGAATCCAGTCCGTATTGCACTCTATGTTAGAAGCAGTCTCCAGCAGTCAATCTTTTCGCTTGTCAGAAGTTCACAAAATGGGATCACATGACCCTGGGACATTGCAAGCATCATAAATATGAACCTGTTGTCAAGCATCCAAATGTAAATCACGTGACCATGGGGATCCTGCAATGGTCGTAAGTGTGAAAAATGGTCATAAATCACCTTTTTCAGTGACATTATAACTTTGAGCTGTTGTATCTTGAATCTACCTCCATTTGTATGGTAGCCTTGGTCAGCTGGACAGGGAAACATTTATCTTTACTTTTTATTGTCCTTTTAAATCAAATCATCATTCCAGTCAAACACCTTAAGAGTGGGCAGTCACAATGGTGGGAAACAAACAGTACGCCCCGGTACGAGCGTACTGGTGCCTGCTGGGAGCCCACCCGCCTGCCCTCCTTACCTGTATTTGAGCCGATCGGGGCTTGCGCGCACAAAGTGTACAGTGCCTGTATGACGCTCCACCGAGCAGCTGGAGCGTCGCAGAGGTGTTGCGGAGCGTCGCGCGTGGTAAGTACGCATGCTGTGCATGTGCCTGTGGTGGATGCCCAGCCCCGTTGCACCATACCAGTTGGAATAGAATCCGGAACCCACCACTGGCAGTACAGATAGTCTTCCACTTAAAACAGTTCATTTAGTGATTGTTTGAAGTTACAATGACATTGAAAAAAGTGAGTTATAACTGTTTTTCACATCTATGACCATTGTAGAACCCCATGATCATGTGATTAGATACTTTGTAACTGACTCCCATTTGTGGCAGTTGCAGGATCCCAGGATCATATGACCAATTTTTTGTGACTTTCTGATCAGCAAAGTCAATGGAGAAGCCACATTCACTTAACAACTGTGTTACTAACTTTCACTTAACAGCTGTGGCAAACAAGGTCATAAAATGAAGCAAAGCTCCTTTAACAACTGACTCATTTAGCAACAGAAATTTTGGGCTCAATTGTGGTCATAAGCCAAGGACTGCCTGTAAGAGCTTTTCAAGCACCAATCTAAATCTCTAAGGATAGTTCTTGACTTACGAGCACAACTGACCTCAAAATTTCTGTTATTAAGAGAGACATTTGTTAAGTGAGTTTTGCTCTGCTTTATGATGTTTCTTGTCACAGTTGTTAAGTGAATTGCTGCAGTTATTGAATTAGTAACACGGCTGTTAAGTGAATCAGGCTTCCCCATTTATTTTGCTTGTCAGGTGATCATAAAAGGTGAATGCATGACCCTGAGATACTGCAACTGTCATAAATATGAATCTTGATAACCAAATGACCATAGGGGTAAAATGGCCATAGGGATGATGCAAAGGTCGTAACAGTGAAAAGTGGTCATAAGACATTTTTTTTCCATTTTGTTGTAACGTCACTAAACAGTCACTAAATGAACTGTTGTGAGTTGAGGACTACCTGTATTCCATGGGAGGGGGAACCCTTTTCACCTGACAAACAGTATAAAAATGCAACCATATAAATTTTTACAAAATACACAAGCTGCCCTGGATTTAACCAGGTTTTTTAATAGATATGTCGAGGCATGCACAATAAAACCTACGTAGGTCAATATCAGTTTGAAAGAGCAGTACTAAAATAACATCAAACCAGTCATGAGCCCAAATTAGAAATAAATCATGAACCCCGTGACAAAATAAATCCACCTGTATTGTTTTGAGTGTTTGTTTCCAGCCTATGCAGGTTTTTGCCTCCCCTTCTCATTTTGCAGTGAATGGATAAGTAATTACCCCACTTTTGACTCCACCAGCACTCTCTCTTAATGGAAAAATGAAAGTGAAACGACTATCTTATCTCCTTTTCTTGATTTGCAACATTAATGTAACATATTTTATCTAGGTTCAGAGAATATTTTAGCCTTATGCCTGCCAGGCTTTCGAAAAATGCAGTTGTGATGCTTGACAGTAATGTTTCATACCCAGAAGAGTTCAGGATAATCTCGGAGGTTGAGCAGGCTGCGCATGACAGTTACCCGATCCTCCTCCCATTTTCGCTTGCAGAACACCATCTCTAGGAAGTACCACATCCAGCCAATGATCGGCAGGTAGGAAAGTTCTTTCTTGGCAAAGACTTTGGAACTCTATAAAACATACAGAAAAGAGGCTGAGTCACAAACCCAAATTATTTGGATAGATATTGGTACGATATGATAAGAAGGGTTGCAATTGGATGAAGTACAACTGGCTTCCAATGGCTTTGAAAAATAACATATAAGAATGTACGCTACTTAAAAGCATATACATATATCTACCGTATTTCCCACAAAATAAGACAGGGCCTTATTTTCTTTTGACTCCCGAAATAAGCAGTTATTTTGGGGGAGGTCTTATTATTTTTGTGGTGCAGGAGGCAGCGAGCGTGGTCACATCATGGCTGCTGCTGTGTTGCAATATTTCCGGGAAGGGCTTATTTTAGTGCAGGCAATCAAAAGCCTGATTGAGCTTATTAGCTGGGGAGGTCTTATTTTCAGGGAAACAGGGTATATAATCTTGTAAGTAGCCTAGTAGCCTATGACTTTTTCAAGACAGCAAAATCTACTGGGTGATCAATGAAAATTCCAGTTCCTGAGTTATTTCTTTACATGGTAGCCATACAGAAAAGTTTTCCCTCGGTTATCTGGTATTGGTGTGGTGGAAGAATCATAAAGAAAACTAGAATCACAATCAAGAATGTAATGGAATTAGGTTTATTGAAAAGAAAGGAATATTAACCATAATTGAATATATTTTGTACAATGAAAGTGAGGTATCTAATTATATTAGACGGAAAATCTGTGATTGTATATGTAATTGAGAATATGGATGCAAAAACACTTGTAACCAAACGACATGCTGTAATGGATGAGAATTTGTTTATGTTGTTTTTATGTTTAAAAACAAAAAAATGCAAAAAATAAAATAAAGAAAACTAGAATCGAACCAGACAGAGAAAGGAATAAGAAGCATTAACATACACTAGTAAAGTTTACTTTTTCTGTCTTTCCATCAGCTTTTAAGAATGAGTTACAAACAACTTCACAACACAAAATCAACCAATTTAATACCTCCACTGTTTTAGTACAACTTCTAGCACAAATGTTGCTTTATCACCTTCTGAGATTTCATGTTTCATTGCATAGTTAATATTCCCCTTTTTATGAATCCAATATTCCAGCAATTAATTCTTACTACTTGGAGCAAATTTACTCTCAATTCAACTTTTTCATTTCATAAGGCAAATGCTGTCCCTTCATAGAGAAGTAAGGGGAAAACTATTATATATTTTATATAAAACATATATACATTATGAACTTAAAAAGGCCTAATGTGAACATAATCTCCAAATAAAGGACGTGAAACGTTTTTAAAAGCTATTGACTTCAGTAGGGTCAAGACTATGTTTAGAAGGAAAAAACTGTATTAGAGAACTGTGTACAAAATTTGAGAACTTCTTTGCATCAAGACCATCACTAAAGGTGATCAGCTTTCCAGATTGATGTTAAAAACAAGTTTAAGGTAGGCTGAAGTTATCAGGACAATTAAGCATTATCCTTGCAGGAGCTTGCATCATGCTGATCTAAGATCTTTTATTCAGCAGCAGAATACCATGTCAACATTGTACCAACTGCTGTTCAGTAGAAAAACAGTGTCTTTATTGTAGAACTCCAAATTGTGATTCAAGGTACTCTTTGTTCTATTTTCATTCCGGGTATGTGGTTTCTATTTTGTTATTAGAAAGCTTTATGCTTATCTGTCAAATGACAATCAAAAGTAAGAACAAACATAATTTTTCAGCTAACGAAAAATAAACATTTTATTACCTAAATGAAAGGGAGCAACTTCATTGCAGTATGTCAACCTTTATAATGCTTTTTAATCTTATACCCTATAAAATACTCTTAAAAGTAAAGGTTCATTCCTGACTCTAGAGCGAGTGCCCTCTAAAGACGTCTCCGTGGTCATGTGGCCAGCATGACTAAATACCAAAGGTGCATGGAACACTGTTATCTTCTCACCAAATAGGAACCACAAAGGTGGTTCCTATTTTTCTACTTGCATTTTTACATGGTTTCGAACTGCTAGGTTGACAGAAGCTGGGACAAGTAACGGGAGCTAACTCTGTTACATGGCGCTAGAGATTCGAACTACCAAACTGCTGATCTTTCTGATCGACAAGCTCAGCGTCTTAGCCACTGAGCCACCGTGTCCCTACTCTTAATATAGTCTAAAGTTTTGCTGAGTGGCAGGGCAGTTATTAGTACCAAGGCAATTGATTCTTTTGGATCCAAGGACAATGAACACTCCAGTAAATGAAGAAATTTTTAAACTTTATTATTAACCCAGAGAAACAAACTTAAAAGCATATCATAAAAGCATACATACCAAGTATAAGGTGAGCAGATGTCCCGATTTTGGCAGGACAGTCACGATTTATAACAATTTGTCCCGTGTTCCGGGGCGTTCTTAAAAAGTCCCAATTTTCTGGCTTCATGTAGAAAGCCCAGTGGATTTGCTTAAGAAATCCTAACNCTCCAAAGCACCTGAGGGTAGAACAAGAAGCAATGGGTGGAAACTAATCAAGGAGAGAAGCAACTTAGAACTGAGGAGAAATTTCCTGTCAGTTAGCAGTTCGAAAGCATACAAATGTAAGTAGATAAATAGGTACCATCTGTTTTCACCTTCTGAGAAATGAACCTGTTTGAAGTGGCAAAGGAACTGACAATCAAAACAAAATAACGTTTCAATTTGGAGGTTTTCAAATTACTTCAAAATTATTTACAGCATCAGAGCCTCTTTCCCAAAAATATATTTCAAGTAACAATACAACTTAAAATGTTGCATGGATAGTGCCTCCACAATTTTACGAGTTGTGTAAAATCTGCACAGTTGATGGGGGATAAGAGATTATGTGTAACCTGATTAGCTATGAGCTAAAATATACAGTCATTACTTTCAACAGTGAGGTTCTTTATAGTAAAAGACAGTGAAATTCATTTGTGCCACAATGTTCTGTCAATCAACAATAAATTTTTAAGGGACTGCTACAATAGAACAACAGAACATTTCTCTTTTAAATCAAGTGACAGGGAAAGAAGAAATTAAATTGTATCAGCAATGTACTGGAGCTTGTACAACCATTACTTCCTTATTTATTTATTTTACTTTACTGATTCTATTCACTCTATTGATTACCAATAAAATAATAAATGAAAGGAGCAGATGAAAAAAAAAGAATTCAATTAGTCAGTGAAACATAAGATTAGTAGGTTCAGATTACTCAGTAATCTTAGAGCCATATTAATTGCAAATCTCTTGGGCTAATGTCTACTGACAATTGTTTATGCCAAGTACCTTCACTATTATCCAGGAAGAAAACAGCATACAGCAGAGCTTCCCACAAACAGTATCTATTGCAGTATGCAGCCAAATGTAAGTAAATAAATAACAGTAAAAGTGCCACATTGTAGTTAGAAAAATACAACTGGGGGATTTGGAGAGCCTTGTCTTCTTTTTAAAATATACCCTAGATCACGGTTGTCAAACTCGCCACGTCATGTTGCTGTCATATGAGGTTTCATGACATTTCCCCATTTGCGAAGCTGGAGTGGGCATCGCTTATGCCTATCCAGCCCGCCTGCCGTGTGTTTGACATGCCTCGCCTAGATGTATACTTCAATCATCACCTCAATATATCTACAGAGATCTTCCATAGCTGAATCAATTCCAACAAGAAGAGATGGAATTGCGTGTGAAGATGGCAATTTTCTGACAGTGAAAATTTCACCCCATGGCTTTGCCTCCCACTCTTTCATCACTTCCTTTCTTCAAAGTCAAGGCAGCTATGGTGTTTTGTCACTATTTTTTTTTTATTTGAACAGAGAAATAGCACTGAAGCTCCCACTCTAGGAAGTATTCCACGAAAACAAAAACAAATAGGAGGAAGGGAAGTACTCTCTGGATGCTTCTTCTACTATTGCTCAGCTCATAGAGGGTACTAGAAAGTTGCAAAAACAGCATCAATGATGGCACTCACTGGTCTTCTGAACTTGAATGAATATGCAACTTTGTGCTTAACTGGTGATGTGGCTGTATACTCAGACTATTATTGCAACTACATAACTCTTTGTACTATTATTGCAGTCAAAAACTTTACAAAATGACTAAGAAAAGTCAAGATAATTTATTATAACATCTTTCCTAAATATTTATTCTTCTACAACAAATCAAAGCTTGTGATCAGAGAGAAAACTTTGAAAACTATACATGAACTTAATCCCAAACTCTTGGCTAGGTAGCTCACATACTTGTCATACACAATTAAGTGTCAGTGTTTGGTTCCCTATCAATATGCAAGGTTATAAATTCTGGCTTCTTTTAGAGTAAGCCATATCTCTGCTTTTGAACTGATCTGGACAGAATGATTCCCAACAATATAAATCATCATATTTGCAAAAACACAGAATTTTCCAGAGACCTGGATTATTATGTTCAAAACAATCCATACAAATGAGAAAAGACTAGAAATTCAGTTGTAAAATGCTTCTTAAAATATAAACTGATAGCACAACATTATGTATGTTTAATCAGAATTAAATCTCAGTGAATTCATCTTCTTCTAGAATAGCAAACATGGGATTATAGCTTAAACATTCTTGATTCAGATACATTTTATACTAGATAATTTGAAAGTGTTATAGGGTTATAAAGTATTTCAATCAGATAAAAATGACTCATTTTCTTTAAAAATGATTTGTTCTGATATTTATTAGGGAAAGAAGGATTTATGATTCTTGTCCTAATTTCTGTAATTGTTAAAAACAAAAACAAAAAAACCCTGAAGCACAGCAGAAATAGTTTGTTATTCTCTCCAAGGACAGAGTTAGCATAAAATCTACCTCCTCTGAACAATCTCTCCTCATTAGTGATTATTCTTTCTTATTAACAAAATCTTTATTAATAAGTATACATCCCTAGGGAGGCTCACTAGGCTCATTTTCTGGCTTGACAAGCAAAGGAGAATAATAAATTCATTAAAAAGGATGCATTTAAATTCATAAAAAGCATATTGCCACAATGCTCACTTCTTTTAGTTTCAGTTGAGTACTGGTTTTTAGGAGGGCAAGGGAAGGGGAGATTATATGAGAAATAGAAACTATGGTTGGCCCTTTTAGTTTAGGGCAACTAAACTCCTCTAAACTCCTCTGAAAATGTTACCTAGCATGGTAATGAAATGTTTGGAAACCAACCCACAAGCTCGAAGACTAAACCTTCACCCTCACAAATATATATTTAAGTCCTATTTTTAAAAAAATCAGACCAAAAAGAAACCAGAGTCTGTAAAACATAAGGAATTTCCAAAGGGAAATTACACCAAGACCATGGTGGATCTTAAGAGGCTTATTGGATTTTCTTAAGTAATACTTATTCTACAAGTAACCCTCAACTTACAGCTACAATTGGAACTTGAACTGCCATCACTAAGCAATATGGTCATTAAGTGAGTTGCACTTGATTTTACAACTTTTCTGCCAGTGTTATTTGTTCAGTGTATCACTGTGATCATTAAGTGGGTTTGCTTGTAAGGAGCCCCTGGATGGTAATACATGACAATTATGTGACCTTGGGACATTTAGGTAAATATATGCTGATTGCCAAGCACCTGAATTTTGATCATGTGACCACAGGGACACTGCAATGTTTAAGTATGAAGACAAATTGTAAATGTGAGGATCAGTCTTAAATCACTTTTTTGATGCCTTTGGAACTTCGACAGGTTGTTAAGTCATAAGTTGAGGGCTACCTGTACTTACTATCATTAATACTGTTTCTAAGCATTTATGGGAGGATTTATATCTTGAAAGCAGGATGCAAATAATGACAATGTATGTAAGCAATTATAGAAAGAAGGGAGAGGAAAAAATACTACTTTGGCCAACTGAACCTAATGTTTATGAAGAAAAGGGATTACATGTCTTAAGAACAATGTATTGTATTCATTCTATATTTAAAGGACTACACACTCCCTATGCACAAAAAGAAGAAATGGATATAGCTAAGTGAGAGCCATACCATTAATGAAATTCAACACTGATTCTACTCTACAGAGAAGAATTATCAGCAGGAACAGTAGACAATTTTGACCAAATAGTAAGGGCAGGCTATCACTTTGGGGGTGGACACACAGTGGAAAGTTTGAGAATATGTGGTGGGGTATGTTACCTTAGGATGCTCTCTATATTTTTAATGGGACTTTTGTGAATCCCCCAATCATTGCTGGAAATAAATATGATGATAGAGGCTGAAGTTTGCTTGAAGCAAACCTCTCTCTTTCTCTCTCTTTCAAAGGGAAAGCAGTGAGTTAGATAATTTAATAAGGAAAATTCTGGGGACATGTTGTTGCTTGTCAGAAAGATTAAGGGATTGTGGGACAATGCATAGACAATGAATTAAGTTTTCAGGGAGAAGCTGTGATAAAGTCAAGGAACAATAACTGTTAGCCGATCAAGAGAAACTCTACAACAACAGTTCAAAGTTAAGCCGGTGCTGAAAAAAGTGACTTACAACCAGCCCTTAGAACCATTGTAGTGTTTCCATGAACGCATGATCAAAATTTGGGTGGTTGACCACCAGCATGTATTTACAATGATTGCAGCATTCTGGAATCACATGACCACTATTTGTGATCTTCCCAGGGGGCTTCTGACAATCAAAATCAATGGGGAAAATCGAATTCATTTAACAACCATAATTTGCTAAATGAACACAGCAGAAAGGTCATAAAACCCGGGCACAACTCTCTTAACATCCTTTAGTGATGAAAGTGTTTGTCCCAATTGTACTCTTAAGGATTACCTACACTGCAAAAGAAGCAATAAAAACACTTGACTGCACTTTTGAGTGTTGATAATTCTTGCTTTTTCTTTTAGAAAAAATATACATGAATTTGGAGGTCTCCCTCCATGAAAAACACTGCCTCAGAAAAGTTCTGCAGTATATATATTATTCTGCTAATGCGCCATCTATCTGTGTAGCTACCTTTGTCATATTTCTCAATAATTAACTTTAGAGCAGCTGAACTCACATTAGTATAGTATATGAAGTATAGGTCCAAGGAAAGAGAATTTGCAGAAAAGAAAAATGAAAAACAAATTCATTATTAATATATGTTTTTCCAGGACTGCATTTCTAAAAGTGTTTCAGTAAAATATCTTTTTTTTTTTCACTTTTAAAATCCGTCTGCTCTAAATAACACTATTAAACCAAAGGTAAGAATATAAAAACATCTTACGGCTTGTAAGAGAATATGACAGCTTGCAGTTGATTTTTCTGAAAAGTTGCTTGTTGAATGGCCAGAGAATTAGTGTGAAGAGTTGAATGAAGTTGATTATCAGTCCTGACACTATAAATATATAACTTAAAATAAGATGACAAATAAATTGAGACTTCAGAAATCCAATGATGTCCATGGTTTAACGCAGGAAGGCAAATCTTCCAGAAAAGGAGAAAATAGTTCTCAAATTTGGAACGGTAACTGTAGAAAGACAAGAGAACCGTAACATTAGAAATAATACACATGGAGTCCCTGCATTGCTTTCCTAATCATTTTACTTTAAATTGCCCTCTCCTAAATACACTATTACTTCTATCTTAAAGTAATTTAAACATGTACCCTGAAATAAACACCTGTGTATAATATGAACGAATCTGCAATGTGCAAAAAAACCCAACCAGGAATATACCGTAGCTGCTTGCTCAAACTCCTTGCGTTTTTTTTTTTTATAACATTTTTATTTTCAGACAAAGACAAACACACAACACATATAACATAAAGCATCTCCAACTACACACAGTGTGTCAATTGGTTACAAGGTGTTTCTGTGTCCTTTCCATAGTCAATACTTGAATTTTATCAAAATTCACATATTGACAATCAAGATAACTTTGTATACAATGTTATTATGCTTTCTCCTATTCTGAGTCATTCTATCATTTTAGCATTGATAACATTCTCTAATAATTTTTGATTCCATGTTTCCCCCGATTAGTAGTATCGTGAATCTAATATACATGTATACAAATTGTTATAATTATTAAACATCCATTAAGCCTNCTTTTTTGAAGAAAATATAATCATATAATCACCTTCAGCACAGATTTAGAGCACAACTTAAGCCTAGGCCAACCTTTCTTATTACTTGATATAAAATTTGCAATTACAATAATTCTACTGACATTTTTACACTGAAGACAGTTTTGAAATCCAAATCTTAACCAAGAAAGCATTCAATGGAGGTAGATTTTTGTTAAGTGCCTGACCAATTCTAATTGTTGAACATGGGCTCTACAGATCTATTAGACACTATAAGAGTTTCTTTATCCTCCAAACTGCTTCAGTGTTTTAAAGCCAAGAGAATAAAAAATGGAAATATTGAAGAGACATAAATAAATACCAAACCAAATTGACCACGAAAGCAGTTGTGTTGCATCACATTGGAGAGAGAAAAAGGAATCTGTTAACATGTTAATAAAAACTCACCCCCAGAACCCCAAATTTATCACAACAGCTTAAACCACAGACAAAGTCGATTTCAAAGTTGTGATTAAGGATGACGATGGCATTCTCCTCCCCAAGCTTGTGCTTTGCTTGTTGATCCATATGGAGGGTACAAGTAGTGCCTGACCACCATTCCAGCAATGTCACCAACTCTGGAACAAATAATAACAAATGATTAAATAGACATAGTATCTCAGCACTTAAATAAAAAGTTGCTTTACTATTGCAATAAGCATGTCATTTCAATATTCCTTCTGCTGTGCTTATGGTTGCCTGAGGTTGGGGAGGGGGGAAATGTGGACCTTTTTATATTGGGAGACTTAAGCAGCAAATTGTGTGCTTTATGGACAGCACTTGGGACTCGAAATTGGATTGTCAGCTTTCCAGCTGATGGATGGGAGGGAGGGGGGGACGAAAGGAGGAAGGAACGAACGAACGGAGAAAGAACTTTGCTTTTTTTCTAAAGATAAAAGATAAAGCCTCCTTCAAGTCCAGATTGATTCTTGGCAATTTGACCCACAATCTTCTTTGCACCAATATTTGCTACTGCCTTTTTAAAAACTTTCCAGAGTTGGTTAAAACCCTGGTAAAGAAAGGAAGGGAAACAAAGTGACAACTTTGATCATTCAAAAGCTTCAATCTGATAAAATATGGTAGTTTGAAGTCAAGTGAAGGATCTCTGGGCTTCCATACTTCCTTTTCAATGAACCGCCTTTGGCATCAAGAAACAGTTTTCTTCTTCCCTGAGACTAATGGGAGAGAACAGCAATTTTGTGTGTCAGCTACTGCCACAACAAAAATGAAGAGTTTAGTAAATTTTTAGAACTGGATTTTAAGTCTCCTTAAAATTTTCCACTGTGAATCAGATAATATTGGTGACGTCATCATCACTATGAATCATCATGCATTGTCAGCCCCATTACTTTACTTTGTACATCTCAAAATGTACATCATGCTCCTACCTTCTATTTTGCACTTCCTAGTCTGTACTAACAGTTTGCTCATTCTCATTACCCACAATAATCTAATTGACCCTACAAATCACTCTACTCATTCAAATGCATTTTTGCTTCTGATTAAGGTGAACAGAAGAGAACAGATGAACATTCATTCCGTATCCTCTCCATTTTTGCTTGGCTAACCTAATTTTCAAAATATTACATGATATCAATAGAACTCTTACTCTGTATTTATACATATATTTATACATTATGAAACATTCAACCATCCATTTGAATTTTTGAAAGCAGAGGACAGAATAATATCTCCCTATTTTGTGAAAGATTATAGTAAGTTGCCACAATGACATTTAAAAAAACTGCCCTGAAGCAGATGTTTTGTTTTAGTATTTGTCTGGATTTCAGTCTATTCATACACACACACACACACACACACCAAATTAAATGAGGAATCTTAATTAGATGATCCTTTACAGCAGAACCTGAGATTTGTGGCTCACCAGATGTTGTTGATAAATCACAAATCCCAGCAGTTCTAGGGTAAATAATTATAGGAGCTTCATTTCAGTAACAGCTAAAGGACCAGAGGTTCCCAGCTTCTATTTTCTATGATTCATCATGCCTCCTATACATTGTTTTCTCCAACCTGGTGCCTTCCAGATGTATTAGTTCTATTGCTACAGTTTCTGATATATCACATTTGTGGAGAATGCAAAGCTGCAGTCTCAGTACACCTCGAGGGTACAAGATTATAGATACATGCTGTAATGCAGGGGTGTCAAACTCGCGTTGTCACGGCATTGTCATGTGACTTTTCACAACTTTCCCCCCCTTCGCTAAAGCAGGCATGGGCACATCTGGCCCATGGGCTACAAATTTGACACCCCTGCTGTAATGTATGCAGCAGCAGATTAATTATATACTGTATTTTTCAGAGTATAAGATGCACTGGAGTATAAGAGACACAAGGTTTTGAAGAGGCAATTTTTTTAAAAAAAGTTTTTGCACTCTGTTTTCTGTGAAAATGGGCCTGGTTTTTTTAAAAAATAAAAGGCATGAATAGCCCTTAGGAGGCTTGTAGTGTGATCCCGGGGAGGGGGGGGGATGATCATTTTTTGTAAATATGGTCCAGTTTTTTGCCAAAAAAGGACATGGATAGCCTTTAGGAAGCTTATAGAGTGCTCCTGGGGGCCTGTTTTTTACTCATTTCTGCCCTTCCCAGGCCCCAGGAGCTCTCTGAAAGCCTCCTACAAGCTATGCACAGCCATTTTGGTGAAGGGCGGGGTTTCAGAAGGCAAAAAATGCTGTATTGTGTATAAGACGCACCCAGATTTTCAGCCTCTTTTTTGAGGGAAAAAGGTGTGTCTTATACTCCAAAAAATACGGTAGAAAGTCCTTGACTTAGTTCATTTAGTCACCATTCGAAACTACAATGGCACTGAAAAAAGTGACATGACAGTTTTTCATGCTTACAAGTTTGGTTTGGTTTGGTTTTATTGGACTTCTATGCCGCCCTTCTCCCAAAGGACTCAGGGTGGCTTACAACATAAAAACACATATGACAAAAGTTAAAAAAAATTAAGTGTTGCAGCATCCCCATGGTCATGTGATCAAACATCAGATGCTTGGCAACTGAATCGTTTTTATGATGGTTGCATTGCCAGTGACATAGAATGCCGAATTATAGTGTTACAGCTGCAAATTATTGATGGAGTAACTAAAATCTCAGAAAATAAAGAAATGATCGAAGTATTGGCACTCTTAATTTTCCTCCTACACTTAAGAAAACACTATCTAGTTCTATTTATATCTTCTTCCTTTTGTTCACAAAATGGGGACATTTGGTTTTGCTATTTCTAATATGGATTTTTTTTTAAAAAAGTTATTTCTAGCACAAGATAAATTATTTTTAAAAATAAAATCAGAAATGATCTGTATTGATAGGAAACCAATGCACAGGAACATGTGGCACAGAATGCTTAGAAACCAGTAAATCCTCAACTTAAGAAAAAGAAGAATAAGTCTAATGAAAGTTAAATGCTTATTAAAGGAAATGCCTGGTAATCCATGAATTCAGGCAAAAAGCTTTTCTCAAACAGTAAAGGCAAACAAGTCATGTTTTTAATATTTATAGATTTAAAAAAAACAACTATGAGAAGTGCTATTGTTTTCTTAGTAAAATACCTGTCATTGTCAATGGAATCGACAAGAAAAGGCCTTTTCTTAGCAACTCCATTAATAATGACAGGTATGTTTAGTTTGTATGGGTTATATGAAAATTTACCATTAATCCTTCACTATTGTTCAGGTAACTAATAAATCAATAATATACAACCTGGTAATATAGCAGAAGCATTACAGCGAAGCATGGTGACTCAGCTGTTGCAGGAAAAATAAAGCTCTATACCCAAAGTCACAAGAACTGGTGCCCATGGACCATTAAGATGGCCTTCTCCTAAGACCCATTTGCAGAGGCACTAAGCCTAGAGAAAGAGGTGGCACCCAGGTCATCTCTTTCAAGTATATATTTGCATCCTGCTAACAGAGGCACAATAATGTAAAAAGGACAAGATCGTTTAAAGGTAAAATCTTATGAACTGTTATGTTAACATATCCACCATTGGGCTGTTTCAGAAATTAGACTCAAACATCTGCATAGTCCTCCCATGTGTTGAATGAATTATTGAGCTGAACTCTTGATATCAATTCATTTCCATTGGTCAGAGCACATTCATGAAAAACTGAAAATAGAACAAAGTATCCTGCAAAAGACAGCCTCCTTTCCTTTATCAATGATGAACTGGGGTGCAGGGTAAGACCATAAAAAAACAAAAACAGTTCAATCTGAACATACAGCAGGGCTTGCAGCAGGAGCAAAATTAAAACATAACATTTTATGATTTGTTCAGTCAAATGCACATTAAGCTAAAAATAGAATCAAAATAATTAGATTTGAGGCCATAAAATATGAAAATCAAAAACAGTGGCTAGGCAGGTTTGAAACAATCTTAAAACACCAAGACAACTGAAGAACAAAATCCAGTGCTCAAGGGCATATTTAAAATGATTTTGAAATCATGTGTTGCCAAGCTTTAGACTGAGATGGATAGAGTCCCTTACTGGATGTGTCACATCTCTCTTTGTCTGTAATTTGTATTGTATAGAACAATGATGGCTAACCTTTTCCAAACCCAGAACCACCAAAATGCAATGCCGCCCACGTGCATGCCCCTCACATGTGAACCCGCACATACATGGCAGGGACCAAAGACCAGCTGGCCGGCAGGAGGCGTGTGCATGTGTGGTGGAGCTGAACTGGGGTGGCGGCTCGCGTGCTCACAGAGAGCGTGCTGCATGCCACCTCTGGCACATATGCCATAGGTTCGCCATCATGAGTATAGAATGTCTGGATCCCCATCTGTTCTGTTTTGTATTTTTTTTTAATGTTTGTTTATTATTTATTATTTTAGCATTATTGGCTGAGGAATTCTGTGTCAGGCACAAAGAATCAGGATCAATCATAAGATTGCAGCATAGAACATTTATTCAAGTCTATACACAAGAATCTGGTCAACTAAAGTTCAAGACAAAATTGGCATCAGGTAACGGTAAAAGGAATTCAGGAGGGATTGGACTTGGAGTGCTTGTGGGAATGTAAAGACTCTAAACTAATTATTGCATTCTTTGACAAAGTGACAAAACTAGTGGACCATAGGAGTGCCGTTGATATAATTTACTTGGACTTCAGTAAGGCATTTGATAAAGTAGACCATAACCTACTACTAGATAAAGTAGAAAAATTTGAGTTAGACAGCATCACCACTAGATGGATTTGTAACTGGCTGACCAACCGCACTGAACCTGTAGTCCTCAATGGAACTGCATCTACATGGAGGGAAGTATGCAGTGATGTACCCCAAGGCTCTGCTTTAGGCCCAGTACTCTTCAACATCTTCATCAATGATTTGGATGAGGGGAGAAATGGGGAACTTATCAAATTTGCAGATGACACCAAGCTGGCAGGAATAGCCAACACTCCAGAAGANCCTTCCCCGGTAATGGCCAGCCCTAAAGTCCCCGCCATATCTGCCCCTCCCCGTTACGACCGTAATGCTCCGGCCCACTCCCGTGACCGTGGTCCCTCCAACCACACCTATAGCTCCCGCATTTCCTGACAGGCCCTCCGAATCAAA